CTCTGAGTGACCTGGGAAGCACCGAAAACACATTTATAAACTGCACGGAGGTGGCTGACAGTGTCTTTATGAAGATGCCCCAAAGATGCTCGGGGAGAGAAAAAGGAGAAAATGCAATTTCTCTCTCCTGCTCGGAATCGAATTACAGAAAACAAATCGCATTTCGGCCTTGAGTAATATGAGTTTCATAAAGGCAGAAGGAGCCTTCCCCTACCTTTGGAGCTGAAGTCGTCCACCAAAATGACTTCTTCGATCAGGCGTGGAGGGGACCGGCTGAGGACGCTGTGAACAGAGCGCAGCAGGGTGGACCACACCTCATCCACGAAGCACATGATGATGGTGGTGGTCGGGAGGTTGTCGTGAACCCGCTGCTCGGAGCACCTGCAACGGCAGCACGGGTTCTCAGGGGACGATCCCAAGCCCCCGGGGGGATCGTTTCTCCTCTTCACGGCCCCCAGGAGCGAGGACGATCCCAGCTCTGTGCCACTGGTCTCGGGGATTCCTGCAGGGAAAGGATCCTGCGATCCTCTGAGCACCCACAGGGCTGGGGATCCTGGGCTGCATGAGATAGCCTTGCTGGAAAAAAAAACACATAAAAACATCGCATGGCCTAGGCTGGAAGGGACCTCAGAGATCATCTGATCCAACCCCCTGCCATGGGCAGGGACGCCCCTAACCATCCCAGGTTGCTCAAGGCATCACCCAACCTGGCCTTGAACAACTCCAGGGAGAGGGCAGCCACAGTTTCTCTGGACAATCTAGTCCAGAGTCTTGCCACCCTCATATGAAGAATTTATTCCTAAAGTCCAGTATAAACCTGTCCTCCTTCAACTTAAACCCATTTCCCCTTTTCCTGTCGCTGGACACTCTTGTAAAAAGTCCCTCCTCAGCCTCCCTGTAGGTCCCTTCAGGCACTGGAAGCCAGTTATAAGGTTTCCCCAAAGTCTTCTCTTCCCCAGGCTGAATAAAGGGTATTACGTTCAAAATGCAAGGAAATGGCCATTTCCACGAAGGGTGACTCAGCGCAGCAACTTGCTGCAGATGTAGACAGCGAGGAAGAGTCACCCAGTCCAGCTCCTGCATCCCTCACTCAGGGGACCATGGAGGATGGGAAAACATTCAAGCACCTGAGTTTCAGTTGGACAGGACTGGTGGGTCCCCTCCCTCTCATGCCCTCTACAGGGACACCCCAGCCCACGCGCGGGGACTTCTTCCCTTGCTAACGTCAGGCATGTGCATCGGCGGATCCAAGGAGTAATAAAACCTCCCCTGCCTCTACGGGTTTGTCATTTTGTTCCGTGATGGCCAAAACCGCAACGGTCGGGTCAGCATTTGAATGAAAGGTGGACGAGCTGCCCTTCTCCTCCTCCATTTGCAATTCAAGCCCTGCTTTTGCCGCTGTGTGCAGGGCTCCCACGGCTCTCCTATCTCCAAGCGGATCTCCAGCCCGGCAGAACGCCTGGGAGAACTCTATGCTTCCCCCGGCCAGCCAGCCGGTTTCTCCCAGAATACCCACAAACCAGTGGGACTGGTTTACTCTCTTGCATCAATAAGCTGAAGCCCCATGGCAGGTTTTTCTCTCCTGCCCTTCCAGAGCAGGCATCCTGCAGGCAGGACAGGCACCAGTTTATCTGCGATAGAGAAAACTAATTTGTCGGTGACGCATCCTGTCCACTCTGCTGGCAACAACGGGCAGAAAACAGGGATGGGTATAGGGGAGCGTACGGAAAATTGATTTCTCTCTCAATGAACGGGTGCTTGGGTTCAGCGGATGCTGGCCCAGATGCTGACATTAGGGCAGCTCAGCCCACATGGTGTTTTGAAGAACATTGAGAGGTATCTCAGGGCACCAAGACTTCCCCCAAGGAACATAGGAACACGAGGAACTGGAGCCTAAACTGGGAGAGACTGGAAGACTCCAGCAAAAAGTAACCTGCTGTTTGATCACCAAGAGCTGCCAAGAGCCGCTGCCACGAGCTGGCCCTCACAGCCGGCTCAGCTCCGGGGTGCCCAGGGGAGCTCCCGGGCTCCAGCGTGGCACCACATAGCTCCAGGTAGCGCCCGCAGGGACGCTCCTCTGTTTGGCCAAGGCGTTCCCAGATTGCCCAGAGACCAGCAGGCTGTGCTCACAGCTGCTCCTGGGAGGTGGTTTCTGCTCCACAGCTCCAGGGCTTGGCTGCCGATGACCAAACACAGTACTGGCCTTGAGCCACCGTGGCTCTTCTGCACGCAGGTGGGTTCTGTAGGTGGCATCTGCCCACCAGAAAGAGGTCCTAGCCATCTCCCTCCTTCCCTGCCCCATTCCTTCCTTGGCTCACCATCAAGTGCCAACAGTGCTGTGGGAATGCCCATGTGTTGTCCTGTGGGATGGGGGACAAACAACAGCACAAATCCCACTGTACTCATGGTCTGCAAACACGGCACAGGCAGGGTGTCGGCATGAGGCAGGTCTTTTCACCTGCCAAGCAGATGAGAGG